CTTATAGAAAGAGCTCTTCCCATATAAAAATTTATTTGGAAATTTACCAACACGATAATACACCGATTTACATTGCCTGGGTGATTAAGGCGACGAAAACTTTAAACCTGAAGTATGCTAACTTGATGAAGGGCGGTTAATGTGGCAAGAATTGCTATCCACATTTGCACAGAATGTTGCCCAGGTATACGAGTTCAGATGATGCTCAAATGATTCGGATTGTTGGTTACGGCTACACAGCTTGAATTGAGATGGTGTATGCAAATTCCGTATGGTTCAACAAACACGGTGCCAACTCAGTCAAGATTTACATGGACTGAATTTTAAATGAAAAATTAGGATTTAATCTATTGGCTTCTTCTGGTCGAAAAACAAAATATAGAATACATGTCATGTCACGGTCGCCAAATTATATTTCAGCCAAAAAAACAAAAAAAAAAAAAATTGTTGTAAACAAAATAAATTTACGGAATTTTTGTTAAGAGATTCTTGGTTAGATTTTTAAAATGTTAATTGAAGAAGTCTGTAATTTGTTTTGTATATTGTTCAATCTACGTGAAATAACATGCTATTCCTAACTCCTAATTTACATAAAAACTTGTTTCTGAATAAAAATATTTTTGGAGTTCTTGTATGTTTTAAAACATTTTTTTAATGACACATATTTTTAACCAATTATGCGGGGAAACCAATTAACCGGGTTCAATTGTGGGGGAATATTTACATGTATTTAGTATACAATATTTTTGAAATAAGCGGGAAAATCAATTAACCGGGGGTCAATTAAGCGAAAGATACTATACTTGCACATATATTTGATGCTCTGCATCGCACTGCGGAACTCAACACTAATATATGTAAGTATTGATTGTTTTCTTAGCAGAGATGAGTATGGTACCAGCCGACGATGTCGGTATCGATATTTTTAGCACAAAGAAATAATGTTAAATTAATAAGATCTCATTATGAGAATAAAATTAACTTAATGGTTGCATTGTAAAATTAAAAATATATGTATAACAGTCACTGCTACAATCAATACACAAATAAGACCAAAAAAACAATGGACGTAAGCTGTACAGAGGTGAGAAAAAGAAAACCGCCTTCTTTTCATCGCTACTCCGTTATGTTTTCTGGTTCAGAAGTGCCAACGGAAGACACCGGGCGGGGATAAGTGATTGATTGATGGAACTATACTACATGAAAATTTTAATATACTACAACTATTTTATTCAATTGCCATCCTATGGGTCTGTGGATAGAACGGAATAATATAAAAATTGCGATTACAATTCTGGTGTTGATCGTATTTAGAGTGAAAATTTAGGAGTGTATATATTCTTCAATTTTGAATCTTGTAAAAATAAAAACCAAAAATAAGAATATACTAATATGTAAACACACAAAATTCATCAAAATCGGTCCAGCCGTTTCGATGTAGTTTGGTAACAAACACCGTGACACGAGAGTTTTATATATTAGATAAAAATAAACATATAGGTGGAGTAAAGTCAGCCGGCTGTTTCAAAATCCTGATTATCAGTTATATGGGGGATAACGCAAGTTTTTACCCGATCGCCAGCACATCGGCTGATATTTGTGAGGACTAAGGGAAGTATTGACCCGATTCAGCCCATTTTTGACAGAAGCGTATATTATTATCAAAGAAATATTTTTCCTGAATTTCAATAACATATCGCTCAGATTGATCGATATTTTCGTGCAAAAATTAGCCGTACGCACTGGGGTCCACATATTCGGTATGTGGGGCTTGGACAGTTATGGTACGATTTTGACAACCTTTAAACTCGAGATGGCATTGATAAGCCATGTTCGTCTATATAGTCCCTTAGTTTTTAAGCTATCGACTTGAAATTATGCACCTGCCCTTTCCTCACTAAGAAGCTGCTCATTTGTCGGAACGGCCGATATCGGACTACTATAGCATATAGCTGCCATACAAACTGAACAATCGGAATCAAGTACTCGTATGCGAAACTGTTTTTTTTGACGTCATATCTTCACGAAATTTGGCATGAGGTATTTTCTAAGTCAACTATGTAATCTCCAAAGAAACTGTTTAGATCAGATGACTACAGCATATAGCTGCCATATTAACCGAACGATTGGAGTAAAGTGCTTGCATGTAAAATTTTTTTATTTGACAAGGTATATTCCCGAAATTAGGCATGAGTTATTGCTTAAGCCAACTATAGAGCATAGTTGCCATATTAACTGAACGATCGGAATCAAGTGTTTGTATGGAAAACTCTTTTATTTGACGAGGTATCTTCACGAAATTTGGCATGGATTCTTATTTAAGTCAACAATGTAATCTCCAAAAAAAATTGTTCAGATCAGATCACTATAGCATATAGCTGCCAGACAAACACTTTCATTTGACAAGGTATCTTCACGAAATTTGGCATGGATTATTAGATAAAGCAAAAATGCAACCTTCGAAGAAATTGTATAGATCGGATGGCTACAGCATATAGCTGTCATACAAATTGAACGATCGGAATCAAGTTCTTGTAAGGAACCTTTGTATTTGTGAAGGGTATTATAGATTCGGTGCAATTAATGGACATTTTTGCTTAAGCTGTTATCTCCGCAACGATACGGAGCGGATTGAGGTCAAAAATCACCTCAAGCCCAGCGGTTAGGCATTCGTAATGAATGTTGCATACCATTTTCGCCAACTGTTGCTCTAGAGTGGTGAGTGCGACTCTTGACGCCCAAGACGTCGCCCCATATGTGATCATTGGTTTGACTGTCATTGCGTCCAGCGTAGTATGACCCTTCACACCATTGGCGCTCTTGTGGCTTTCGCAGAATGAGTTTTAAATCTAGTACAAGGCCTAGATATGTTACTTCACCCATTTTCTGTTAAG